AAGTTGGCTCTGTGAAACGAGACGCATGCGACATATGCCTGCTACGAGACCACATGCACTGCAGCACGCGTGGCTTGCAGGCGACCTTCGAGCCGAGGAAGACGTGCTGCAGTGGCTGATCCTACAGAAGACCGAAGACAGGATCGAGACGGTCAACCGCGGCGTCCTTGAACAAATGCTGGAGGAAACGCAGTACCTGGCCGTCTTCTTCTGTATGTGGACGGTGACGCTGCGCTTGAGAGCAAACACGAGCCGCGCTGGTGTTGTCTGCCGCTGCGTGGCGTGAGCGGCGCTATCTGGCTGTATTATCTGTCAGGTCGGGAAATAAGACCTGTCACTTTTGAACCCATCCTATGTCTGTCATATATCTGCTAATTTCTAGTGAAACGGGTGTTTGAGTTTATCCTAAACCGTACCCGACCGCCACGCAGGCGGAACAGTACCAGGGAAGGCCGGACTGTTTTTACGTTGTCTCAGAGGGAAACATGTACCCACCTACGAAGTTGCGCAGCTAAAAACGACGTAGTATGATACGCTGGGCGCATCGTGACGGCTTGGCTGTGGTTCTTGTCTGGCCGTATATGGCATTCAAGAAGGCGATCGTCTTTTGATGGGACATTTGACGGTGTTGTGTTATCTCAGAAAACCGTTAGTTTTATAGAAATTATGCAAAAATTTGGAGCTGTAATTTAAAATGAACACATTTTGATGTCATATATATTTTTTATCGAACTTCATCTAGATGTTTCGTTGGGCCTAGCTATGGCTAGTGTACTCTAGTTTATATCTGGATCACTGAATACCCATCAGCACCTCATCTGACAACGTCAAACGGTTTGCTTAGACAAGCCGAACTGCAAGGCCTGTGACGTAGCGCTGTCGGAGCTGGAGAACATTGATGACGAGTGTGACCTCTACGGCATCAACATGGTCAAGATCCAAGACCCCCAGCTGGCAAAACGCTACGGCATTAAGACACTCCCGGCCTTGATCTACTTCAGAAACGGCAATCCGCTTGTCTACGAAGGTAACCGAATTCAAGAAGGCTATTAAGTTGTTTTAGGTCTTTCCTTTCTCTGTGGGACAATGTAGTGTTGTACTTATGCGGACGACTATGAGCACGCGTCAATTGACGTGCCCGCGCAACATTTTGTGTTTGCTTTGTTTATATTCAATAGCTATCGCGTGCCAAATTATCCAATCATTTTATGTTTTGTCTCACCATCTCTGTTCTCATAATTGTACTTGGCGTCAATGTACATTAGTTTGTCAGCTTGTACAGTATCACGGACAAACGAATGTCTGGTGCGTTCCGCTCAGCCTTCTTTCGCATATCGCGACCTGCAACCAATCAGTGTGCTAAGTTTTTATCGTCACGTTTTGTGTGTGCTCCGCAGTTTTCTTTCGTCCGTTATTTCAATGTTCTGTTCAACCTTCTCCTTTGCCGTGACATCCACATCCATCCAAGCGCCCTTTTCACTTGGTCGACCATCGGTAACCATTGGTTGACTTCTGAAGACTTTGGAGGCCTCAGTCGCCGTTGCGATCTGCGTGGCAGGTCGAGTAGACATCTCATCAGCTACGCGGGATCGGTCCTTCTGGACATTGCTCCGTTGTTTCGGAGCGATCTTCAGAGGTCAAGGAAAGATGGTAGAATAGCTTCGCAGGGGGCTAGATATCGACTTTGGAGTTGATGCGATGTAGGTGCGCTGCATTTGTCATAGCGTTGGTGAAGCATTGTTTGCTAAGTGAGTCTAATATTGCCTGCATAAGTCATAGGAAGCGTTGGGCGACGCGACCGTTTGATTGGGCTGTGGTTGGTGTCAGCCGGCTCTGATTGGATAGTAGGCTTTCTCCGTCGTGGTCTGATTTTTGTGTTCTGCTGTTGTATTGGTCTGTTGATGGCCTGAGCTAGCTTTGCTTGGATTCTGGGATTTCTCTGTTACTGTCTTATTTTTTAGCTGGCAATACTCTATCATAGCTTTGTATCAATTACCTAGTTGATATGGTTCGTGACAACTCCGTATGTACCGACCATTCGAAATATGATATGGATCATTCAATCAGGCGTCGAATTCAAGGCACCAGGCATGACGGCTTCGCGTGGGCCCCGCTCCGCGTACAGTCGCCACTAATCTGGGACGTCAGCGGGCAAGCGGCTATCGGCGATCGGCAGACTGGCGAGTGGCGGGCGAGCGCCGTTTGTCGACACACATTTTGGTTGAGACTATTCAAATCAAATACAAAGCCCATATTTCAAAATGTTACGTTCGTAGTTATAGGTTCCATGCGCCTTGAATAACTGAAGTATTTCACAACTGCTTCGTCATTGGCGTATTTGTCGCTCTTTGCACATAGTGACTTTACTGTGGCTTCGGTTGTTGTTGCTTTTTTTGCTTTCTCGGACACCGAGTATTTTTTAGTTTTCTTTATAACTAACAACCATATGGCTGCAACTGCTATTCCTCCGATTAATACGCACCCGGGTGGTCGGTTGGATACCATTCGCTCGGGTGAGGGGTCAATTTGACCCCCCTGAGATCTTGAGAACTAAGAAAGCTAGAGCAACCAAATTCACAGGTGTATTTACCTGCACGTGAACTCTCTTAGGTCAAATTTTGATATTTCTACGTCATTCCCTTTGGGTCAAATATGGTCAAACAAGGTCAAATTGCAGATTGGTCTCCAAAGGGTCCCTAAAATCTAGGCAACTCTCCTAAGAAAAAATTAGCACGCTCAGTTAAGGTCAGTGACCTTGTCTGATCTTTTAACACGTGTCTGGGTGGCCGGTTGGATGTGCTTCGCCCGGGTGGAGGGGGTCAGTTTGACCCTCCACCCTGAGATCTTGGGAACTAAGGGAGCTAGAGCCACCAAATTCGCAGGGTGTGTTCAACTGTACGTGAACTCACTTAGGTCAAAGTTTGAAGTCACTAGATTATTACCTTCCGGTTAGATAAGGTCAAACAAGGTCAAATTCCAGATTGGTATCCAAAGGGCCCCTAGAACCTAGGCAACTGTTTTGAGCAAAATGTCACACGCTCAGTTAAGGCCAGTAACCTTGTTTGAACTTTTAAAGGTCATAAGGCTCAAAATGATATAAGGCTGTTTTGAGTTTTGCATTTGGATAATCGACACAAATTTCGCTACGCAGTATGTACCTAAACAAAATGTTGACCTGCGTCATTTTAGGTCAGTGACCTATTCTGACCTATAAAAGGTCCATGGAAGGTGTATAATGCGGTTCGTGTTACCGATATATTCTGAATGAGAGCCGGACACCAGCCCATACAGCAGGCCCGAGAACAATAAAACAGGTTCGTTTTGACCTTGGTCTGACCATCAAGCCTAACCCTAGATCATTGCTACTTGTTTATTCAATTGTTTTGTTGTCGAAGGAGGCATCTCAGAGTTGTCTGGTTTCGTCTAACACTCCTTTGATCGGATTGAAAGATTCCTTGGAACGTGCCTTCGCTGAAACCATGGCCTGACTTTGACCTGCCATAGGTCAGCAACCTTACAGGGTACATCTCAATTTTTTTATGTCAGACGATCTGCTATTCAATTGTCTACAGCTATGCAAAATTTGGCTTCAAAAAAAAAAATTGGCATCAAATTTGGCTTCACCCCTTCATAGAATACAAGCGACCACGATGGCTCTATTAGCGCCTCGGGGCCACGGTGCAACTGGGATACGAACCCAGGCCCTCATGTAGGTGTTAAGGGCGCTAACGTTTCGGCAATTATTTTGTTGGGACTGGGAGGATCTGGTGGTCTGGGCTGCTGTCATCACGTCTCGAGAATGAGATGTGATGATGGCAGTCCAGACAGTGATGACTCCGGAGTAATAGGAGTCATTACATCTTGAGTCATCGGGGAGGGGGGAGAAGGGGAATCGAGATGAATGTCAGCATCTCTCAAAATGATGATTCATGTCTTCAAATTCACTAATGCGTCATGCAACTGTGAGCCGTACCCCTCACAAAGCTTAAGTACATTGAAGGCTCATTCGAGTCGGAGTACCGTAAATTCATCAAGGAAATCGTGGCATTGATGTAGTCTTTTGTCGCACACGCCGCTACATGAATGTTACTAGATGCACTGGCCGTGCGCACTCGCTGAAATGATGCGTCTTGTACGGTCCAATTTCAGTTATCGTCGTGCTTAGAAATAATGCTTCATTTTCCGGCCCGTCTTCCGACTACTCCAAGCTCCTCCCATTTTTCGATCCGTCTCTTTCAACATTTAGTTTATTCACGTGCTCCTTTGTTTGCGTTACTTTCTTTAGTTTTCTTTTTTATCTGTTGCAACGCGTCGTCCTTTTAAAATGTTGGCTTTCTGAGCTGCAGGCTTCCGGTCATGGAGCTCTCAGTTGTAAATTTTAAGCCCTTGTGTTCGTTTTTGGGAAAACAGAGGCGCTAAAAAATGTGACGAACGACCACCAGGATGCATGAATATCCATTGTCCATCGCAAATGTTTATGCCCGGCTCGGTATAATGGAGCCTATATGCCTGGTATTCGCCCTAAGGTTCGTGGATCATTTATAATGCCCAGACAGCGAGCTGAAAGATGGGATGTAAAAAGAGACAATGCTCTCCGGCCGAATCTGGCACCCTGCGGTGTATCAATGCTTCACGGGCGTTGCCTGCCTTGTGCTGTGCTCCAGCGTTTTCTAAACCTGCTGTTTGGAAGCTCCTACACAGAGAAGTCCCGTGTGTTTCGGGCTACGACGGAAGTCGAATGCTGACAATGGCAGGTGACACCCGGAGGTGCCCGAGGTCACGACGCTGCAATTCAAGGTCATGGCTGCCAGCCACTGACCTGACCTGAAGGGGATGGCCTGACGGATGGTGGCCTGGCGGCCGCCGTGACCTGGCGCCGCCGCCGGTTTCAGGCGACCTGCGCTCCGAGGATCAGCTGATGGAATGGCTCTTTGATGAGGAGAGCCGCGAACTATACGGCGAGATTGAGGGCGTTAACGCCGCCATGCTTGAGAGGCTTCTCGACATGTCGCCGTTTCTGTGCGCGTTTTTTTGTGAGTGGCCTCTTGGCGACGGTCATCGGCGTAGGTGTTGTGCTGTGGTCGCTGTCCTGTCCGCCCTCCTCCGTCTCGAACGGCAGCCTTGGGACCCGGCCGCCCTGACAGCCCCTCGACTCACCTGTGCGCCCGGACCCTCGACGCCGCCCTGCGCGCCTTCTAACCTAACGGCTACCTCCCGTACCCCCCGGTCAGCGTGACGCCTTCGGCCGCTCTCCGCCAGGTGGCAGGTTCACCGGGCAGCTCGTAACTGACCGTGCCAAACGCGGGCTGTTGCACTGACGTCACATTGTGAAGTCAGACGCTTATGAATGAGGTCAAGGCCGTGCAGTCACGAGTGAAGTCTTCCAACTCCAGGGCTAGTTTCACCAAACTAGCGCTTTCGAACAAACGAGAACGATCTCAAAATCATTTCTTCATCAAACTACACAATTTGATGTCAAAGGCTAAATCGTCACCAGAGCGTATGGGTAATCGAAGGGTTTTCCGCGGCCTTTGCAGAAATTCAGTTGGTTGTAACTTGTCTGGGGCGCAATGAGCGGCACTGAAACGTGTGAGTTCTGACCCCTATTTCGCTCCTTAACACTGAGGATAAAAAGCTGTAACTCTGGTTGTACCATCTATGCGATTTCAATTTCAAACTTCTAGTTGCCACTATAAAACATGACAAAGTACGCAGACTTCTGTCACACTCCGCTTCATGACGCAAGCAGCCTGACCTCTTCAGCACGTCACGCCGCCTGACCGACCTGCTACCTGGCGGGCGGCGCCCTTGTGCCCGCACGTGGGGTTCGCATGCGGCTGCCCGGCCCCGCAGGAGACGTGCGGAACGCCCTCGGCGTGCTCGAGTGGCTGCTGGACGACGACAACCGCGAGCTGATCGGCGAGATAGAGGAGATCAACGCGCGCATGCTGGAGCGGCTGCTGGACGAGTCGCCGTTCGTGGCCGTCTTCTTCTGTGAGTGTGGCGGCGGGAGCCTGGCCTGCGCGCCAGTCCCCGGGCAGCAGGGGTTTGGGGAGTGAGCTCAGAGGGGGCCGTGCGAGCGTCACGAGATAAGGGTGGTGCCCAGTCTGGCTGGAGATCTGCCGCAGATTAGGGTTGGGCACAGGCGAGGATAGGCGAATACAGGTGTGGCAGTGTTGCACTTGAAAATAGTTGTGGATGGCTTGGCCAAAACGTAGTGCTTTGCATCGATTCCCCTGCTTCTCAATGGTGGAAGTTCCAACTTACGTACTGTACGGCAGTATGTGTTTAGTTGAGACCATGCAAGCGGGAACTCTGGGGTGAAGATGGAAGGATTTAGCGAGGACCTATATCAAGCTTTGTTTTGAGAACGTTGCAAACGTCTTACAAATTGTCGCCATGACTTTGTACTGTTTGTGACAATGTCCAATGGATATTCGAAGACGCTCATATATGTCCGACTATTTAGAGCTTAGCGTGTAGTATGTTTAGAGCAGCTTTAGTCCTAGGAGCTTCATTCCTTCGATGCGTGGTTGGAAATGAGTGTAGATTGACAGTTCAAACACTGTGAGTGTTTGGATAGTTGGAGCGTAGATGGTGTGATTATATGCGAGGTCAGAAATGGTCTCGGCTGTGTATGGTGACTTCGTGATGTAAAACATTTGATTGTGCCTTACAGCTGATGGGAGGGATCTGTGTAAGTCTGTTACGTATTTTAACGTGTGATGTACCCCTATGTTGACATATGTTGCCAGCAAACATGCAAATGGGCACTTCCTTTTATACATATTCATAGACCTCATAGCAGAGAAGCTTATGACATGTCTGACCAGAATGTGGTTTCATTTACGTGATAGCTAAGTCGATTGGCTTTCTTTCACACGACCTGCCGCGCTTTATGTTCTAGCTGAATGGAGGCAGCTATATGGTTAATGACATATTTCGTCTCTTTAACCCTTTCGCCACTCTTAATTTCGGGTTAGCGTAATGTTATGTAGGTGGTGCCCATAGACTGTTAATATCGTAGAGCCGGTCTGAACTGTGTTAGAAGTGTTAGGAGAGTATAACGCATGCCGACAACGTTCTCTCTGTGTCTGTACTCATCCTGTGTTTGTAACAATGTTTGAGGTGTTGTGCTTTTCTTTGTCGTCACGTCCATTGCACATCGTTTTGTATGTACGTAGTGTATGTGTTTTCGTATGGAATTCCCTTTAGCGCGGTGGTGTAAATGGCTTTTCCAATTAATGAGACACGGCCTTGAGGACAGGTCTTATGCATCTACGTACTCCAAAACCAATGCCAGGTAGCTGGAATTATGGTGTGTATTATCATACAATGTCGAGAAAAAGAGGCGGCTATTTAAGTCAAGTAGCATCCGCTTTGAATGACGGTTGCCATTTGGACAGTGATGTGGTTGGCCATCGCGCAGTTTTTAGCATTCTGTGGTTTATCACTGTGTCGCTGGAACTGCGCTAAACAACGTTTGTCGATTGCGTCACCGCGTGCGGTTGCACGTGCCGCCGTTGCCCTGCTGGCGGCGGTAGTGACATCACTGTTGCGCGCGGCCTGCCGCAGATGACGAGGAATGCGGTGACTGTGAGGCGATCCTGGAGGAGCTGGAGAACATCGACGACGAGGCGGACATGTATGGTCAGTAGCTCGCTCAGGCCGGCTGTGCTTCATGGCAGGGGTAAATTCGTACACACACCCGATGTGTATGGCATGTTACCAGTCCACCCAGTCAAGTCGGGATGTGCTGTGGTGGCCCTCCATAGAAACCCGATGTATGCGATTGCGTACATAGATATTGCACTTTCATTCAACAATGTGATGACGCGAAATTTGCTCCGTTTTCTATAAAACATGCTGGGCTGATGTTCTGAGGCACTGCAGTGATATTTGATTTCGCATGTGTGATTCAATGATCAACTCGTTGCATCGTAAACCAGCATCTATGTCATTCATCGAGAACATCGTGTCGGCCTGCAGCTGGCACAAGCCGCTTTACGCACCCACTCATATACGGCCAAACTGTGTTTTGAGATCAACCCTATATCAATCCCGTTACTAGGCATAGACTTCGTGAAGATCAGCGACGAAGAAGCGGCCAATAAATACAAGATTCTCCACACGCCGGCGTTGGTGTACTTCCGAAAACGAATACCGATCATGTACGAAGGTGAGGATTCTCCCGACATATCCCGCTATCTGCCTGATTCCTGGATTCCTGGCAAATGATTGCTTGGAAAAGGTAGTTGGCAAAATGTGGTATGAAAAGATTGTATACGATAAAACATCGTGCGACAAAAGATCCCACGCCGTCGGTGGTATGCAAACAAATCGGTAGTAAAAAATCGCTCGGCTACAATCTGTGCCTTCCTGTAGAATAGCACCAATGAAACGAAATAGGTCTTGCTACCCTGATGCCTGATTTCCTCATCGTTAGGGCTTTTGTCAAAGAGACGTTCAGGAAGACGCTAGTTTAATATAATTATGTTATTATTCTATAGTTAACACGTTATCATTATGCGTTGTTAAATATATTTCAGAAGATGTGACAATAGCTTAAATCAAACAGCATACCTCGTGCCGGACTGCGTTGTTGCAAATCACTTTCCGTGTGCTTAGCCCGCAATGTCTTCTTGTTTGCAACTGATCCTAATTATTAAGACTGCAGACATACCAAATGTATCATTCAAACGTTGTTCCGTTGGTTCTGTATCCAACTATATCGTATTCCACGATACGAAGGATATCTATATACCACTAGATTTTGCCACACCACGTTTTACCCAGCTGTCATTGATTCATGTACACCTTGCGTTTTCGTGGCTTCATGCCCTCGGTCTAAGCCATCGGATCTATGGGGTCCAATTTCCCGTTAGTGGCGTGTGACCCCAACCTACATCGCAGGTGACATGACGGACGACGAGAAGGTACTGTCTTGGTTGACCTCACAGGACGTGCTGGAGATCAAGGACGAAATCGAGGAGGTTAACCGGAAAATGCTAGACAAGCTCCTCGACGAAAACGACTTCGTTGCCGTCTTCTTCTGTGAGCTCAAACGATGCGACTATGCTTTGTTTTACTTACACCCCTTGACCGTTCAGATCACAAGGCACACAACAGTTAGTCCCTGAGGGTTTGTAAACGCTTCAATTTTGTGCGAGAGTCTGGTGTGAAATCTTGGGCTCTGGAACGAGGAGGACTTATTCAGGTGAGCTAATACCTGTCTGCATAGATACGTGCATGTATCTTAATGGATGGTCACAACTTGTGCAGTGCTCTCCTTAAATCTAACTTAAATTGATATTCACTCTGTCATCTTTATTCATAACCTTGATCTGCACCCGGCCACGCTTCGTCCTGCCGGAGCATGTTGCCGCCGCCAGCGACGAGTCAGACTCACAGCCGCTCTCTGGGGTCCCGCCAGAGTTTCTGCTCAAGTCCCGAAGCCGGGTACCTGTGTGCGGTAAGACTCGTTAGCGGTGGCCGGTCAGGATGGCTGCAGCGCTGTCTCTTGACCGTCCCTCTGTCTCTCTTTTGTCCCTTGGAAAATGTTCGGTCATAGCCGGACAAGTCCTGGCCCAACCAGACTTTAAAAAGGCGGTGCAACTAAGAGCACCAAGAACGGTGTGCAACTAGACACGTGGTGTCATTCATCCCAGTGTCTGAGCGTGCCCCCGTCCCGTGCTCTGCAGACGAGAACAACTGTCCGCGCTGCGAGGAGGTGCTGACCGAACTGGAGACCATCGACGACGAGGCTGACAACCTCGACATCACCTTCGTCAAGATCCGCGACTCCCGGTACGCCAAGAAGTACGGCATCTCCAAACTGCCGGCCATGGTCTACTTCCGGCGGCGGTTCCCGAGCATCTACCGAGGTGAGGATGGGGAAGATCAAATACACGAGATTGTGGAACAGGGGGCGGGTGAGATTGTATGGGCAGCATGCTGAGAGGCTGTGAGAAATGAGGTGGGTGAAGTTGTAGAAGTGCAGACGGGGTGGGGAGGTAGGGACTCGTGTCACTTGGGAACGTGTTCTGTGGTTTACCGAGCTGTCCGCTATTCTTCGCTGATGAAATGAGTTGCCACCAAGCTATTTAAGTCACCTGTCTTACGTTTTGAAGGTTTTGTCTTTCTCCCAGCAATGATATTTCTGCATGCTCACGATCAAGTAAAGTAAGGCTGAGACGGTGCAAAAAGAGAGCTATGTGTCCGTCTCTATCACGTCGGATGGCAAGGAGTATCGACATCCAAAACTCAAAAACAGAAACAAAACAAAAACGAAAACAAAACAGCGCCAACGTCCAGACGCTCTTGGCCATCCCGATGTTTCGCCAAACTGACGTCACGTCGACCCCTAAGAGAACGCCACCTCTCAACCATCGTTTGTTCGCCAGGGGACCTGCTAAACGAGACCGAGGTTCTCGAGTGGCTACAGAAAAACCGCTACAAGCACCCCGAGCTGAACCTCTTCATGTATGCCATTGGCGCCGTCTCGGTCGCCTTCGTCGGCTACACAACCTTCCTCATCTTCTGCTTCCACGGCAACCAGAAGACGGCGTGAGGCGGCGCCGGCGGTCGCTGTGCCTAACTCTGCGGCGGTGCTCCGACCTCGAGCGCGCGCCTCGCCGCGTTCGTCGCTCGCGACGCGACGCGGCGCCGACCCCGACCGAAGCCGAGTCGGTTAGCGGCGCCGACCCCGGCCGCCAGGCGGCCTCGCTTGGCGCCAAGACACTCTCAGAGTTACCGTTCATGTGATACAAAACGTGCGAGCTGAGCGAGCGAGCAAGCGAGTGAGTGAGTGAGTGAGTGAGTGAGTGAGTGAGTGAGTGAGTGAGTGAGTGAGTGAGTGAGTGAGTGAGTGAGTGAGTGAGTGAGTGAGTGAGTGAGTGAGTGAGTGAGTGAGTGAGTGAGTGAGTGAGTGAGTGAGTAAGTGAGTGAGCGCGCGTGCGTGCTCGCGTGCGTGGGTGCGAGTGCAATCATCTCCAATGGAATCGTCATCCGAGATGCGAGGTGGGTCGCTTCGGGGGGTCTGTTTTACCGCTGTTGTGCCGTCGCGCCGACCCCGCCGCCTGCGGACGGTCCACTCTGCTCACGCGGCCGCCGCACTGACGCGTTGTTTTGCTTTTGCCTAGCCAGCCCACGTTTTTAACAGACGTTGCCGAACTGCTTCACCACTGTAGAGCTAACCAAGTGTCCGTGCCGTGTCCTTGGGCAGCGAAGGCCCCGCCGGTGCCATCCTGTTTGCCCCGGGCATCACCCACCCGCCGGCCGCCCCTCCTGTATGCTAGACCTGTCTGCCCGTGTGATGAAGCTGTGATCCACCATGGCGGCGCAGTGTGACCATCGGACGGGACGTCACCTCCACTGCCAGCGTCTGGAGCTGACGCGACCGCCGCTCTGCTGTGCCTCTCTGGGTGATCTCAACAGGCGTGCGTGTGTGCGTGGGCGCCCAGGGCCGCCGCGTGCCCGGCTGGACGTAAGAGGGGCTGAGTAGTGGCGCCCAGCGCGAGATAACTCTGTTGGCAATGTCACTTGTTCGCACGGTGCTCGCCCTGTCGCCGTGTCTACCGTCCGCCGAAATGGCTCGCCTAACGCGGGACCTGTTTGTTACATTAAAAGTGCGATGTAAATCAAAACACGGAAGGAAATACACAGGACTGTGGCGGAAAGTGACGCTAGAATTTCTGTGTGCGGCCGGAGGAGGCTTGGCATACTTTTGATAAACGGCAACCCTCGTCAGTTGCAGTTATGACCCTCGAAACAGTTTTGAGTGGGTTAGTGAGATTTGAGTGAGACCGCCGGTTGAGCTTGCTTTAACGTAAACTAACAGGTTACTGATATCTGGAGCGACCTCACCTGGCCCAGCCAATCAAGCTTTTGGCACCCTACGTTTTTGCAGTCGTTGATCGTATAGCGTACCGACCACAGTTCCCAGGAACGGGAGTGACAAGCTTTGAAAATGCATGCTCTGACAAATATGACGCTATTTGCACACGAGCTGTTGGATCAGAGGCGTTTTTTTGTCACTGGACCATTGTAATACCCCTTAAATTGATGCTCTACAATCCCATCAACCGAGCACCGTCTGCGACATCGCGCTAGCCGCGACCGCATGTAAGGAGTAACGCCCGATATCGCAGAAAGACATTGTCGGGTCGACATATTTCAATAATAATCGATGGTCCTGGACAATCTCACCAGACACCATCGGAATGGCAAATGTCGAGTGACTGGTGGCGTCGCAGGCTGCGCAAAAGAAAACCTTGAGGATAACCAAAATTTTTGAACAACTTCAGGGCCCTTTATCGCCCAAAACATAAGTCACAATATTCTATTAGCAATTAAACAAAAGAGCGCGTTTGCGCAGTTGGGAAAGATACCGCCACGTCAACAAAGATCATGGTCCAAGGACCAATGATGCGACGGATTGTGTCAAGCCCATTTTAGGCTCAGGTCAGGTTATTCCACTGGATCCATGATTTCTGCTCTCTCGGTTCACACGTTATACAGTGGGTTTGGCCATGGAACATTTTCATTTACACCCCCTTGTACATCACCAACGGCTCAAACAAATTTGGTCTGTTCAACATCAGTGTAATGACCTCAAATGGCTGCTGACGATGCTCGCACGTGACCTCGTATCGTATAAATAACAGGGAGTCAAGTGGGTTGGGAAACCACTAATAACAGCATGCGGACGTAAGCATCACTATGCAGGCCTTCAATGGTGACGCTATAGCTCAATGATCTGACCAAATCTCGTATTTCCGTTACTCCAGAATGCGCCGAATTGGTCGCTTATCAAGCACTCAGATTTGGTGGAATTACTTAGCATGATTCGACAGCTATTCCCAAAGCTCGACTAGCGTTTCCTTTGCATCTCACCTCTTCCAGGCTGTCGGGGTTAACACGACAAGCATAAAATTTGCAAATTCCGAAACACTGAACAACGCAGGTGGCAGCTAGACCCAGATTTCGGTGAACTCACAGCGACACGAAACCAACAAGTCACGCGCGCTCAGGCGCAAGCGATGAAACCGCCACTCGCTTCAAGCTTTGGGAGCAGATCAAAGCAAGCAGATGAACCGTCAGCCAAGTTGCCAGCCGTGCTTGTTGTGGCAATCGTGCAAACCAGCCGCCATAAGCCTCTTTTCTTTTGACAATCCATATGGAAGGCAGATATTTGTTGGGTCGACAGGGTGTACTTATTAACGCTTCCATAGGCAGAGGGGCTGAGCTCCCGCCACACTTTCTGAAGAACAACATTTGCTCTGACGGTGTCACTGGAAATAAATGTTCAATAGGATGATGTCCCCTCCTTCATCACCTAACTTGGGAAACACTTTGTCGTCGCCGTATCCGCATAATGAACAGTCACGTCTGATGCCATTAGGCTCACCGCGTGCCACACAAGGCGCCGTTTTGGGACGGGTGTCAGGACGACCTGTGTCTGGTATCTGGCCATGAATCCAAACACAACCCGCAGCAATTCACGAAAAGCACCCACCAAAGTCATACGCAATAGTGCGAATGATGTGGATTCCTTGGATGCATGGGGCTTCCTTTCAGTCTTATAATGCTACGGCGCTTCCAGACACTTTCGCCCTGCTCGGTGCCCAGCGCAAGAGCAATCGACATCTACCACGTTTAGTTATACTAAGAATATCACAGAATCCCAAATCGTGCAGCATTCACAGTGCAAAGAGCAATTGACATCAGTCACATTTATTTACACTAAGAATATCACAAAATCTCAAACGGTGACCACAAGTGCTTTCATAGCACAACAGGAACTTGCAAATGACATTTGCCGACAACATGCCAGTCATCAGATTAACCCGCTTTTGGCGTCTGCATGCAAAAAAGGACCAACGAAAATATCTGAGTGGTCGGATAATCAATCCGTACACACGCTTGCCACGAAGCGCAAAGGTAATACACACGGCATGAATTACTTGCAAGAGCATTCATAGATGACACACACTGCATGAATGACTTACACGAAATCACACCGGAACACCATTCGTCTTCCACCACCGCTGCCGGAAACGCTAAGTTCGCAGATGCTACGCCAAGCTAATGTCACACGTGCGTACTGGCCCCTGACGGCACTGAGTCCACCTACAGTTCGTCTCGCTCCTCCCCATCACCGGGAGGCGGCGCGCTGTCAGCGCCCTGATACAGCTTGGCGACGATAGGCAGCACCAGCTCGTCTAGCTCCTTCTTCTGCGAGCGAAATTCGTCCGTCCCGGCGTCCTGGTTCCTCTCCAGCCAGCCCAGCCTCTCCTCGATCGCCTGCTCAATTTGGGACTTCTCGTCGCCCGACAGCTTGGCGTCCAGCTTCTCCTTACCAGCCAGCTGGTTCTTCAGACCGTAGACGTACGCCTCGAGCTCGTTGCGCGCCTCGACGCGCTCCTTGACGAGCCGGTCGTCCTCTGCGAAGCGCTCCGACTCTTGGATCATGCGTTCGATGTCCTCGGGCGTCAGCCGATTCTGGTCGTTGGTGATGACGATGTGCTCTTTGGCGCCGGTGCCCTTGTCTTCGGCCGACACCTGCAGGATGCCGTCGGCGTTCAGCTCGAACGTCACCCTCGATCTTGGGCACGCCGCGGGCCGCCGGCGGGATTCCGGTCAAGTCGAAGCGGCCCAGCTGGTGGTTGCCCGTGGTCATCGACCGCTCGCCCTCGTACACCTGGATGGTGACCGTGTCCTGGTTGTCGGCCGCCGTCGAGAACAGCTGCGACTTCTTGGTGAGGATGACGGTGTTGCGCGGGATCAGCTTGGCCATGACGCCGCCGGCCGTCTCAATGCCGAGCGTCAGCGGGTTGACGTCGAGCAGAACGATGTTGCCCGTATCCTTAACGCCACCTAGGATGCCCGCCTGTACGGCCGCGCCGTATGCCACCGCCTCATCCGGGTTGATGCCACGACTCAGCTCCTTGCCGTTGAAGAACTCCTTGACTAGCTGCTGGATCCTGGGGATTCGTGTCGAGCCGCCGACCAGCACGATCTCATCCACGCCCTTTTTCTCCAGGTCAGCGTCGTCCAGCACCTTCTTCACCGGCTTCAGGGTGCCGCGGAACAGGTCCATGTCCAGCTCCTCGAACTTGGCGCGCGTTAGGGTCTCCGAGAAGGCTTTCACCTTCCAACAGGTTGTCGATCTCGATCTTGACCTGGTGCTGGGAGCTGAGCGCCCGCTTAGCCTTCTCCTTCTCGCGCCGCAGTCGTTGCACGGCCCGGTTACTGGAGCGCAGGTCCTTGCCGTGCTTCTTCTTGTACAGCTTGATGAAGCACTCCATGACGCTCTGGTCTAAGTCCTCGCCTCCGAGGTGAGTGTCGCCGTTGGTGGCGGCCACCTTAAACACGCCGTTGTCGATGGTCAGCAGCGACACATCGAACGTGCCGCCGCCCAGGTCGAATACCAACACGTTCTTTTCGCCCTTTTTGTCCATGCGGTAGGCGATGGCGGCTGCGGTCGGCTCGTTGATGATCCGCATGACAGTGAGCCCGGCGATGGTACCAGCGTCCTTCGTCGCTTCACGCTGCGCGTCGTTAAAGTAGGCCGGTACCGTGACGACAGCGTGCGTCACCTTATAGCCCAGGTACGCCTCGGCCGTCTCTTTCATATTGGAGAGCATCATCGCTGAGATCTCCCCTGGGGTGAAGGCCTTGGCTTCGCCGCTCGCCTCCACCTTGATGTGAGCATTGTCATTTTTCTCGATGACCTGCGGAGGAGAGGAGTTTTGTTTCAGTTCGGTAGCCTGAAGCAATTCTGTCAAATGTTTATCTACATGTAAGCTTAAAAGTAATGAAAAGGCACATACTTAGGTATGTCTAATAGTTCAACATCTTTTAGACAGACAAGGAAAAGCGCGGCACGTTGATCCGACTGTACTGCCAGTGAGTTCACCTGTAAAATTACTCTGAGGTTTGCATTTAAGCGCGTAGCGGCATGGTGTCGACATATTCAACACGTTCTTCGTCCGTGCCAAGCCCAAGGCAATGATTCTGCATCGGCAAATATGAAAAAAAAAAACATAGCAGGACGAACCCGAGCTAACAACCACCTCACAACGTCATACCTTAAAGGGTAGTAGTTTGACGTCGTTCAGCACGTTCCTGTCGCCCCAGTCACGTCCGATCAAGCCCTTCACGTCAAACGCGGTGTTCTCGGGGTTTGGTGTCAACTGGTTTTTGGCGGCATCACCGATGAGACGCTCGCTCTCCTTGGTAAATGCTACATATGATGGTGCAATGCGGTTGCCCTGGTCATTGGCAATTCTCAACACGGCCATTCTTGAACACGCCAACGCTGCAACAATTATGCTCTGTGTAAGCACCACAAAACGGCAAAATGTGAAACGGGTCAGGAAGTATATAGTTTCAAAAGCCCTGAAATTATTGTGATCAGGTAAAGTAGGCAATCGTTGGATGTTTGTTTGGTTTGGAGCCCTTCTGACCAGAAATGACCATTTCAGGGTTACGGGATAAAGGAGGATGGACAACCGTTGGGCAGGACCATGTGTACCTGGGGGAGGGGGGGGGGGGACACCAGCAAGCCTTAGCCTGATAAGGACCATTCTGCAGGATGTGTGTTTGGCATCCAGTCAGGGTCCTCCTACAGAAGGCTCTTTGCCCACTTATGGCTGATGCATG